ATCGAGCTCTGTCATTGGCTGATTTTTTAAACGAACCAAACGGAATTTTCTAATTGGTTATTTTAATTAATCGTATACATATATATTATTTTATTATCAAAATATTTTTGTAATAAATATTAAAAATAATTCTTTTAAAATAAGTATTAAGTAAATAATTTATTTAATACTTACATAAAATCGATATTTACTATTTAATCGAAAGAAAGAAAGAGAAAAAAAATTATCCAATTGGAGGAAAGTGTTTCATTTAAATTTATAAAATGTTTTCTGACTGGCTATTTTAAAATTGATTTATTTTAAAGTTTAAGTAGGCTTAAAAGTTTATTTCATTGATTTTAAAAATGAGGGCGCATCTCTTTCGAAATCGTTAGGATGCCGAAAGGGGGAAAGTAGCATAAAATTCTGTTTAAAAAAATATATATTTTATCGATATTTAATTTACTTTACTAGAGTATCGACATAAGTTTTTAAAGATGTAAAATATTTAATGTTTTATACATTTTCCAATCTTTATACGAACTAGATATCTCGATTAAATAAATATGAGTTAATTAATCATGCTGCTATAGTTTAAATATGAGTGTGAAAGGTTAGATTTGTTTCAATCAATAAAATGGAGGCGTAAAGATTTCATTTAAATCAAAAACGGACGTCTTGAAATTCAATATTTTTCTTATACTAAAAATATAATACTTTTAAACAATATGATTTTAAATATAGGCCTACATTTTTTTTAATATCAAAAAGTTTTTAAACTTTAAAAACAAATGTTTAAAATTAATAAATTAATAAGAAACAGTTTTATATTAAAGTTTCTTATAAGAAATATAATTTTAATTTATTAAATTTAAAATAACCAATTAGATTGTGTAGAATTTTTGAAACGTCCAATCAAGAACGTCCGTTGTTTTTGAACGTTAAATAACATTTTAAAATTTTAAATATCCATTCAGACGTTTAAAATTTAGAAGAAGAAAAAAAAGAGTCTAAGAAAGGATTTTTTGAATTGAATTTTATAATTTTTTAAATAAGATAATCTAATCTTTATTGGATCAATAATTATACATGGTATATAGGCTAACTGCCTTTGATAATCTTTGGGGTCAACCATTTAAGATAAAACGGGTTTAGAACTGATTCAAAATTTGATTTAAAATTTTATAAATTATTTAAGTTATATAAAATATATAATTATTTAAATATATATATCGATAAAAAGTATTATTTTCGTTTTACAATATAATATGTTATTTTTATAGTATTAATTTTTGTTTATTTTGAACTCTTTTAATATTACGTTTCTTATGAATGAACTTCATTATATAATACAATACAACTGCTAAAAATTGCAACATTTCAATTTATATATTTTATCCCATAAGTTACGTAAAGTGTAGTTAAGAATGACCTCTGAACTTCACTAAGTCAAATCATTTTACAGGCGAACTTATCAGTGTTAAGATATGATATACTTTAGTCTATATTCTCCAACTATTTTTTGAAGTTTCTTTTAATTAGTTTTCAACTCTAATAAAGTTTAAATTGTGCTATTATAACTTTAAAAAAGTTATACAAATTGTAATAAAAAAAAAAATTATTACAAGCAAATATAAAATGTAGGGAAATTTTCATTAATTATTAAAATTTAAAAATAAAAGTTTTATGTAAGTAAACGTTTAAGAAATTTATATCTTAAGTAATAAATTTATTATTAGTACATGTTTAAATTAATACCGATAAGAAAACAATTTTTTCTCTCTGCCTATAAATTATTTCTCAAGAGTGAGATCAGTTTTCTTATAGAGAGAAATATGATTGAATTTTAGAGAATTTTGTATCGTTGAATAGCAGAAAAAGGATATAGTCTCGCTACTAAATCATGAAGGTCATAGGCTAGTCGAAAATTGAAGAAATACGATGCTTCGTGGCAGCAGTGATTTTTGGAGAGGTCCCAATGGTCGCCTGGTCGGCGACTAATGAAAAAGAAAGGGGAGAGAAAAAAAGATTCTACTTTAGAACGTCCTTAGATGAAATATAACCCTTGTCATTCTGAAGGCATATATCATTCTAGATGACGTTAAGAAGTTTCTGATTGGTTGATTTTAATCTAGTGACTTCTAAGATGGTATCTATTCCAAGCATCGATGATAGAAGTTCATTGATTAATATTGAAAGAGTTAAATTCCTGATCAGTAATTTTTAAAATTGGAAATTCTCCTTTTATAATCTTGTTTAAAATTAGCATCCATGAGGCCTATAAGAGTTATAACTGGTTTAGATCTGATATCATTTTTATCGCGTTTCGTCGTTAAAATTATTTTTATAAAGTCGTAAAGAAGCCTAAAATAGAATTAATTATAAAAGAAAAAAATGAAACTTATTTAATTGTAGGGAGAATTTATAAGATATATCGTTATAGGAATTTTTTGGGAAAGTTTTTGCTTCTGCATCTTAATTACTGAATTCGCAACAAGTGCGCTTTAGGGGAAAATATGTTTTAAATATACTTTAAGGAAAGAAATTAATGGGTAAAGTAAGGTGAAAAAATATAAATTAGCTTTACAGCGAATAAATATTCAGAAATAATACAAGAATGAAATTTTGAAAAATGTATATATTGTAATTTTATGTCATTCATTGTATTGTTAAAAGAACGGCTTATTATACAACATATATATTTCTCAATGCCAAGTATAAATATCCAGAGAGGCAGAAAAACCGATATATATTGAAAAAATTATTATATATAT